GAATGACAACTGCTGCTTTGCCGAAGTGCAGGCTCTAGTCAAGCATTGCTATGGATACTATGTATATAAGCTGCAGCCGACAGCTTTGGAATTCAAAGTGAAAGCCAGATATTGCGTAGGTTAGTAATCCATCGGTTGCCTTTAAAATGATCATAAGCCACTGTAGACTTCTTCTCAATAATTCTTAGGGCATATTACCCCTCTAGTGCTATTAGCACAAATCTTAGTGACTGAGTAAAGCTGATTTTCTGTGACTGATTGACTGATACACAATTCATTGACCAGCTCCCAGTTGGCTTGTTAGCTAAATTGGTAGAGCGCTGCACCGGTATCGCAGAGGTCATGGGTTCAAATCCCGTACGGGCCTGAAAATTTTTTTCAGGTCCTATTTACAACTACTCGTTTCAGTAGTGTTCTTAGCTGCGAGGATCTCCTAATTTCATCAGAATATAGAACTTGAGAACTTGAGAGAACAATGCCGAAAACGAGTTTCTAAGAAAATAAAAAATGAAAACATCAGTGACACATTCGGCTGCACCTCCTTAGCTCTTTTTTCGTTTTTACAACATTTTGATGTCATCAGTGATCTTTTACTGAACAGACGCACGTTAATACGGATACTACTTGGTGATATAGACTCTTTAAGTGCTATATTTTCATTAATCTCTGATGTTATTTTCACCCTACATCGAAGAAAACCGAGCCATCCCTTATAAAGATGCTTTGTTTTACCAACCCGTTACAAAAACTGGTGTGCAGTCAGCATTGACAAATCACGTGATTCACAGGGAATATCACGTGACATCGTCATGGAAGTGTATGGTCTATTGCCTCTCGGAGATGAGGTGTATGTCATTCAACTATTTCCCCCAGAGTAACACATGTGAGCTTAACAACAGCACTGGATCAAGTAACCCGGAAGGTTTGCGAAAGAGACCTGGGACCGAATATTACGAAAAGACAAGTCATTCATCATTGTTAGGTTGAGAAGCTGGTTCAAATAAAAATGGAATCAATAGTGAAATTCTTAGATGGTAAGAGAGCAAGTTTTTCTGTGCGGAACACTTTGGCTTAGAATGGTAGTATTTATTGTCAAAGCTGCGATGGAAACAGACTCATTTGAAGCGGCTTAAAGAAAGCCCTTCATAGTATGTTTCATCAACACAACATTTCACACTTTGTAAATATTTTTCTTTTAATTTTCCGAGTCAGTTTTTCAGTTTTACAGTTTAGACACAGGATAAGAGAAACAACTACCCATAGCAACTATTAACAAAAGTAAAGAAATCCGAAGGTCTGGATTAAGTTCAACCACGTTCTAGCCAAGTTTAACCAAAGAAAACTCTGAAATCGGAGTTCTTTGTTTGTTGGTATTTTTGTCCCTCATTTCTGGGAAGACGAATAAAATGTCTTCTTATTCGACCAATAAGATCAGATTTTGCCATCTTTCTTATCTTACATTCACAGAAAACAACAAACCTGTGAAGTCGCATTAATATATTTGCATAAGTATATCAGTCTGTTATGTAGGCTATATGAGTTTTTACGAGACTTACCTCACCAAATGGCGCCATTTAGTTTACCTATGAATGTTCTGATATTTGAAGCGAAGGATTTTACGTATTTATAGAATAGCCGACACTATCTTCTGGAATGCTTGTTCATAGCAATAAAAACGTAGTAATAGTACAATAAAAACGCGATGGCAAGATGCCCATGTCGTGCTAAGGTGTTTTCTTTGCTTTTGAAATCCATAATGTAAAGTGGAAGCCAACAAGATGCAAAGCCGAGCTGAACCATTGCTAAAGTCTATGTCACTTTTGCTTCTTCCACATTCGGCCGGTGTCGCCGAGGGTTATTTTTGTGTGAGAAAACAGGATTTGATCTCAAAACAGCGCGGAATACTTTGACGCAGTAGACCGTGATGATGGCGAAAGGAGTGGCTATATATAAAAAACGTTGCTAAAGATTATGAAAGCTGTGTCATCTTCGAATGTGATCAAGCAAATTGCCTCACCTGAATGAAACTGAAATCTGCCGCTCTCAAATGTGAAGAATAGAGGCGCAGATCCAACGAAAGCCAAACACCAACACATAACAATGTTAATCAAATTTTTTTTCTTCGTAAAAACCTTCCAGGTTTCACGACGCAAAAATATCGACTTACTGCAATTATTATTTATTATAACGCAATTATTAGTAAAAAGAGAAACAACTGCAAACTTGTACACTCCAAAACCTTGGAGGGAGGAAAATCTTTTACCAAAAACCCAACGATCGTAGGAGAGACTTGTGACTGTATTAGGCATATAACAGGTGGATACCACAAATCACTTACAGCCAGAGCTATTATGAACATGTTGGGAAGCGTGTGGAGCCTGTGATTTCTGTACATGGCGAAGCAAGTGAGAAGATTATCGAAGAGAGGCAAAACATCGTTAACTGCAAACAAAACTGTTTCAATCCAAAATAGAGATCTTGCCCGTGCAGCAAGTTCGAGAGAAAGGTTTTTCATTATAGATTTCGATCACCAGAACGAAAAGAGGTAAAACTTTGAAGCCAAACTCATTACCAAAATTTTTTCTCTTGTTGAGTTAAAAGGTGGAGTCAGCGGCAACGGAAGTAATTGGTGTCAACATTTTTGAAAATGAAATGCAAATCTTTTCTGTTTTTCTTTCTGAAAAAATTAATCCTCGACAGAGTAAACGAGTTCAAAAATGAAAAACTGAATTTCCTCCAATAGAAATACTAATGCGTTCCGGAAGGGAATTAAAAGATAATGGTAACTGAATTTGCTTGTTTTTAACCAATCAAAAAAATGATTGCACCCTGAAAAGTTTGAAAAACAGGAAATTAATTTTACTTCGGCGAGAAAATTAAATACATTTGGGGGTAGATAAAATCATTGCGTTGATTTTTAGGTAACAGCATGTACCTTTTGTCAACTATTTCCGTACTACCGGTTCCTTAACCAGTTAGGATTTTTAGCTTTAACAGAATAATATTATTTGGTTTTATCAACTTAGCTGATAATATAAATTGGCCACTGTAGAGAGTCAGCTCTGGAAACTGTTTACGGTAGCCAGTTTACATATCAACTCAGTTGATAAACCAAATTAACTTGATATATTCCTACCGACGCAGCACCGCAGTTTCTTTAGAAACTTACCCCTTTACTCATTGTTAGTTTTTGACACCTTCCCAAGCCATTAGCTTTGAAGAGCAACAAACCAGCACTAAAAGGTGCTACATGCACTCATAGTTTGTCAAAAGTATTGCTGTATTGCTGCAAAGTATTTTGTTTCTTATACAAAGATGTTATTCGCAAACTGAACATTAGTGTCGTAAGGATATGAGCCTGGACACTCAGATTACAGTCGCAGCATACGACAGAAATCTCCAGTGATAAAGATAAAATAAATTATTTATAGAACAGGGTGCTTATACTCGCTCTGAAACCGGCTAAATTTAAAAAAGCACAATTATTTGACAAAGTTAAGAGGGGCCAGCGAGGGGCTTATTGACTCAAGGTGTGGCGCTCATTTGAGAATGACAGCATTTGCTAGTGTGAATTTGATTAAGCGATGTCAGCCTCAGAACATGCAAGGTTTAAAATCTCGGGAAAAATGGGGTGCACAGCTGGAGAATGATCCAATCCCTTACACAGGTGCGAGTAACCAGGTACCATGCCGTTTTGTGTAATCGATCGTTGGGTGCAACGATCGAGAAAAAAAAAACGCATCATGGTCAATTAGAACTGTCTCTTCCAAGAACAACTGAAACAAAGCAAATAGTTGTGATTGATTTGGCAAGATAAGGCTAATCGATACTCTGTGAAAAAAAATTAAAAAACATAACAGGTGCAAGTGCTGTAGTAGTGTCTTCTGTGTATTATCCCAGGAGCTTTTGAGCGACAACAATTCGTGATAAATTTTTTGTGAAAATTTTTTCTTTCTCTCACGCAGACGTTACAGGGTGTCTTTGTGCAAACGGGGCAAGTAACGATCAAGAACAGCAAGCGTAAATAAACGACTAACTCGAAATAAAAGATAAAGTAAAAACGAACAAAAAAGAATAATACTCGAAGGTTACATCATTAGAGTGAACACGAGTACATCCGGGATTTTATAAAATTGAATTCAAGTGATTCAGGTTGGTGCACTTCATACAAGATGCACAAATTGTCATCAAAACAGAAACATATTTTCTACTCTTACGACTTCCTCAGAATACGAACGCATATGCAGGGAACGCATATTGTTTTGATGTCAATGAATTGTTGTACCCGTATTGATTCCCTTGCAAATCGGAAGCAGTAGCTTTTAATTGATTTCATCAATTTTCATAATGCGACAGTTTCCCCTTTTTTAACGACGACTTTAATTACAAGCTGAATTAGCTGACTTTCATTTGATTCCAATTTTTACGTCTTGGGCTCATATCTGCTTTGAAAATTTCCAAACGTCTTTGTCAAAATGTCATTACTGATTTTGTGAAATTAAATGCAATTGGGTAACTGTCAAAACCTTAATAGAGGAAAGTGCAGAACCTAAACATAAGAATCAATTATAAAAAAAAAAATGCACGGTTTGGCACATTTCTCCTAAAATTAAAATAACGTAACCTAAAAAGTGATATGGAATTGACAGATACATTGATATTTGAAAAAATGATGACATTTGAAAATTGCTGACAAGTTGCAAATTGACAAATTTCACTTGGTTTAATTTATTCAAGTTTATTGAAATTACACTACTTGAGCTCTCACTTATAATAGATATTTCAGTGCCAACCTTCGTTTTTCAGTGCTGGATATATTGATGTCCTTAAAAGATAGGATTAACAAAAACATGACAAGGTGGGCAGCTGACATTTTATGAAGGATATTGGCTTTGATATAGGACAACCATGACACATTTATCAATGCATCAATCGTAAACTATATTCGATACCTCTTCACCTCTATAACTCCAGAACGGAAAGTGCGGCCTAAAAAAAAGATGGAGTTTGCATCAAGGTCTGAATTTTCAATTTGGACCAAAACACTTTTGTTTGCCATGATTAACGTTTTGGCTTTCTTTGGGAATCTTCTCACTTGTTATGTCGTGTACAGAAACCGAAGGCTCCGCACGATTCCCAACATGTTCGTAATAGCACTGGCTGTGAGCGATATTCTGATTTCCTCGTGCTGCATGCCTTTTACTGTTGCAACTCTTTTCCACGGTCGATGGATCTTTGGTGAAACGTTTTGTCGAATTAATGGTTTCGCAGTTCTCACGTTTGCGGTGGCCTCAATTCATTGCATGGGAGTCATTGCAATCAGCCGATATTTCTGCGTTGTAAAACCAGAAAGGTACTTGGTGTTGTTTAAGAAGGAAAAAATTTGTCTGTACATTGCTTGTGCGTGGTTCGCAGCTCTCGTTGGATCTGTGCCTCCCCTTTTCTTTGAGAGAGGTGGATTTGAATTCAAGCTGGGGAAAGGGATGTGTTTGTACACTTTCGAAAGCGACATTGGTTATACATTGTTTTTAGGATTTGTTAGCATCACAGCCCCCTTAACACTCATAACCATCTGCTATGCAAAGGTGTTCCGTGCAGTTTCAAGATCAAATCGTGTTTTCTCGGAAGAAAGCGATTTTCCCCGCTTGCGAGCGAATGTTGAAGAAGCCAAAGTGACCAAGACTTTATTAGCAGTTCTGGTCGGTTTTGTGTCTTGCTGGCTGCCAATTTTTGTAATTGACACCACTGATGCCATGCGTGGGGACGACACCTGGCCGCGGGGGGTGTACATTTCTTACGCGTTCCTGCTTTACACGAGTAGCACCATCAACCCAGTTATATATGGCGTCATGAATAAGCAATTGGGGCGAGAATACAAGGATATCTTTAGCAAGATTCTTCGTTTCCGGCACCAAAATATTATGGAGACTGAGACTGAGACTGAAGCAAGATTTACCGCTCGACGAGAAGGCTGGTCTACTTGAATATTCAGAAACAATGAGGCACTTAACAGAGGAGAAAGATAAAAGCTAGTCGTTAACGAGAGGAAAAGCCTTGTGTCTTTGTGGTGACACAATGCGTTAACGCTCTCTGATCATTAAGTTTCGATCTGTTTCAAGAATAACACAAGAAATATTATTTTAACAACCCTCTTCTGGCTTTCTTTACTAACGCACAACTGATGTTCTCATCAGCTGAGATCACAAGTGGCTCATGATGAAGTATTTACTGAAGCTCAATAACATTCTTAACAAACTTCACCACCTGATGGCTTGCATTTTATGTTTTCCTCGTTTGGGTTTACCGACCTACTCAGGGCTATGATCAATCGCTTTTTCAAATATTTAATTTTATGGTAGAACCAAGAAAAAAAATACAAGATCTTTTATTTATCGGCGGTAAAGATTCCGTTTTCCACCGGCTTGAGAGATTGACATGTACTTACCCTACTTTCTTTGCGTATTTGAATGAAGTCTGGCCACTGAACCACTCTAGTTGTAATTATCTCTCGTAAGACAGATGGATGGCTAGCTAAACTTTTCAGATGTTTTCGGTGTGAAACCAACCAGAATATCTTTTCCTCATATTTGCGAGTATTAAAACAAGTGCAACCAGTGTACATGTGTCTACTGTAAATATTTGAGTGGCGTAAATACCTTTTTTCCTTGAGTGTTTATTGACGCCAAATTTAAAATTGTGTGTTTCACAGAAGTGCATGTTGTAACAAATAGACTAGGATTTTTTGACTATTTCAAATACTTATCGAGTATTTCAAAACTCTCTTATTAATCAAACTGGGCATTTCAGACTTACGCTGTGAGGGTGATTAGTTTTCTTCAAAGTAAGAGCGTTTCTGTAAGTTTGTAGGACCATTAAGAGAAAGACAGATTTACCAAAATATTTTCGTAAACTTTAAAATAATGCCGGCTACTTTCAAAATATTTCGCTTCTGATATTTGATTAGATAGAGGTGAGAATAAGTCATGAATGGTGTTAGTGTAGAAATATGTCACATTTTGAAGCATACAACATCAATACCGATAGAAAAATTGATTTTGAAGAGAGATAATTTCCTTCAAAGTATTACAATGAACTCTGTACCATGTCCAGTTTCTTGCGTTCCTCTTTAATTGTAAATTCTGGACCGATAATGATATATTCCGGTGTCCCTTCCCCGCCGTCAATAATGGGTTCACGTAACGGTGGATTTCCAATATCTGGAAGAAAAAGACATATGAAACTTTAAACTTGTGTGCTTTTGCATCTTAGAATTCTTGCCACAGTCTAAGAAGCCAAGAAGGATACCTGGGGATACCTGGGCATACCCCCGGAGATTTTACTGTTAACTCCCTTGAGTAGTACGGTATACCCCTAAGGGTTTCAGAGTATACCCCAGAAGTTTTACGCCCTAACCCCAGGGGACTTAAGCCCTATATACCCCCGAATATTTTTTTACATTATATATAAGTATCCTATGGGTACCACCCTGAGGTTTGTCTTCCAGTAAACACCATGTTAATGACATTCAAAGCTGAACATTTTAAAACACACACACAAAAAAACCCAACAGAACCGGTTATGTTCATGACCAATTAACGCATGCGCATAGAACTTATGGAATGTAAACGGAAGACCCTCTCTTAAAACCTGAGGGTTCTTCAAGCAGTGAGAACGAACTAAAGAAAGCTAGATCTTCCATTAATACTTAGATAAGTGAGTTTAAAATAAACTAAAGAAAGTGAGATCTACCTCTAATACTTAGATAAATTATCGCTTACGTACCAAGATGTCTCCTCAAAAACGCCCAGATAGCTTGTCTGTTAAGCTTCACGGCTGTGGTTGGATCAAGTTTACTTCCGAGTGAGGTCCAGTACAGTATGTATGGTGGCAGAACTGACGGTATGTCACATTGGTTCATATGTCTTGTCCACCTGGCGAAGATAGACGTGTGTGCTCTTTTGTAAGACAAGAAATGAGTTGATATTTAAGGAAAAGGAAACATAAAATTTCAATTCATCATATGAATCCGTCCAGACGGTCTCCTTCACACTTAAGGACCAAATAAAAATATGGTATTTTCCGTCCACAATGTCATTACACCAACAGCCTGGGCTAATGACTGGGAAAGCGCCCTTAATTGTCAGAGGGCGGCGTCTGAAAACAGTTAGTACACGTCGACGTTGGCAAAAAAGTCTTGTTCTTGCTATCTTTTTAAGTAAGCTGTCCTGTTTAGGAAACCGTTTTTGCCACCATTTTCGATAAATGAGAAAGTCTCTGAGCGTGGACGGTTAGAGCAAGAGATAAGTCAAAGGTTAAACCGGACAACTGCGGATACGGCTTTAAATGGACAACAAAGATTTTAACAATATTCTGTAATTGAAAAAAAAAAACGAAAAAACTTCTTACTAGGAAATACAGCGTCAAAAAGAAATTTACTGATGAACGGGAAATTATTAGAAAGGCTTTGAATATATACTAAACGCTCACAAAGGTAAGTGTTAAGTCAGAGGTGTGAAAACATCTCCATGAACAAATATTTTCAAACTTCACTTCACGAAGGTCAGTAGCACCGAGACAAAAAGAATGATTCCGTAGAAGATCATTCATAGTTTTACAGAGTAAAGTTCTTACCTTATCGCTATGATTGGTCTTGTTTCTGCATAGAATGAAATTGAAAAAAAACCTGATTTTAGTTAAGCTATTTCGTTCACTCCATTGATAAGACCAATTTTCAATCGAGGGTGGAAAGTAATTCAGGATCGCATTAGTTTTGCTTTACTTTGCTCTGTGATTGTTCCAGAAATTTGCACCACTTTCTCACTCATCAGATACGAAACTAAAACTTACAACGACTTCGTCACTCACATTTTCCCGCGCTTTGGACAGTTTGCTCTCATTTACTTTGCGTTCCCATTGGCTCCTTGAGCTATTTTTCTTTGCTCTGATTGGCTGTTGTGATTTTCTGTGTTTTGGTCTTATTAAACATAATGAAGATGCGCTCTTATAGGTAAAACTCTACTCTCGAGCCAAGAAATAGAGAAATTAGTTCGAAGAAGAGGAAAAAATAAACAATGACAAGAAAGCAAACCTGGCTTATTACTAATAAACTTTTTAAGAGGATCCACGTTTTGGTCCCAGCAATGAAATTGTTGTGAATTGACAAACAGTAAAGGCTGATCAAGATCATAATTAAATATCCCTTTTCCTAAAGGCAGCATCCACACATCAAGAGCCACACCACACCTGGAACATAAATGAGTTGAGAAATTAACTAAGTCAATAAAATTACTTGGATGAAGTTGAAGGTTACATACCTACTGGCTGATTGTTTAAATACAATTAAATATTATTGACAAACACTCACAAGCTGGTTTCAATGTATTACACTGAAGATAGATTAAAATGGACTGAATAAAGGCAATTTAATAATAAAAATTGTCTATGTTGAGTAAGAAAATTTCTCTACCCAATTTAAAAATATGCTACAATAAATATTAAGAAAGACATAACGGAAATCTTATTGTCATTGTAAAATAATTAAAAAAAAAATTGATCAAGATTGACCTAGCAGATCTTATTTAATTATGGCTTTTTAGAAAAACTTGAAAGATAATGTTGCTCTAAGGTTGAATGTAACAAATTCATTTAATGAAAAGGGTTTTTTTTTCTTGGAAACACTTATAGATTTGGATAAACTGGAATTTTGAACTACCATAAATCTGGTTTCTATTTGGTGTTGATGATGGTAAAAATATTTTTAAGAGGCTCTGTATTTTGCATAGGATAAAGTCACAGGCAAGCTTGATTCCAATGCCAATCTTAACAAAGCTTTATTATTATGCATGATGTAATCTTTTTAGATTACATAACACAGAAGTGTCTAAGACTGCAGAGTTAATTTTATTAGCCTTGTGATGAACACAGTACCTAAATCGCTTGTCCTTTGCCAAAGATAGGACAGTAGTAGCACCTCCAAATGAATGACCAACCATTGCAACCCTTTTTAAGTCCAGTCTTCCCTTAAAAAAAAAGACAAAGGAGACACAATTTATGAATTAGCATTATTCTTGTTGTCAAACAGAGGTAACCACTCAACTAAAAAGCAATCAATATTTTTCTTTTACCTGACTCGATGAGCCACGAACTACAATGTAAACAAATATGAAATTTTGAAATACATTGGTTAGATTACTTTTCAAGGAAACATAATTCTTCGATTATCCAAAGCATGGCAATTTATTTGCTGAATGGCTTCATCATTCCTTCAAATAAGTGGTGCCATTGAATAGATTAATGGATGGAATGACTGAAGATAAAAGGAACAGGGATAAGATTAATGGACAAAGCCAATTTCCCTCAAATACCTTGAGCTGTTGTAAAATAGAGTTTTCCTGGAACAAATTTGTTGGAAAATGTCCTGACTGAATGTTTTCAAGAATGTTATGGGCTCTTACACATTCATTTGCTCTGATGTGAACCTATAAAAAGAAAAAATAACTGTTTTAATGAACAAAAATGAAGTATATTTCCTTGTTAGGGCAGTTTTAAAAGTGATATTGTGGTGTTTAAAGAAATAGTAGAGTTGGCCTAATGGTAAGGACCATGGAATCTGTGTCAACAGATCTCAGTTTCAGCACCAACTGGGTCACTGTGCTGCATTCATCTGCAAGACACTTAACTTTAAAAGTGCCTCTCTCTACCTACCGGTAGTAGCTGAGGGGATAATTGAGTCACAAGGAATTATCTGGGAATTTAACAGATGCCATTCATTATCCTCTGATAACTGGCTTCCCATCCATAATGACTGGCCATATATTTAGTCATATAATGCTTCATAAACTAGGATAAGTTCTGTCAGAATGAGCCAATAAGCTGAAGTACAAACTGTGGTTGTACCTTAACTACAAATATATCTAAACTACAAATAAACACACCTGCCTGTTTCGAAATTCAAACTCATTATCACTTTCTTGGAGATGGTGGTACTGGATCCATTCCTCTGTCATATTCCCATCTCCATCATTCTTCTTTAGAATGTATGTAGCAGAGGCTGATTCATCTCTAGTGTTTTTTTAAAAAGAAAAAAAATCTTATTCAATTTTAAGTGGAGTCAGGTGCAAGGCCTTGGAAAATAAACTATAGAGATTGTGCAGTTGATTTTCCTGAGCCTTGTAGTTATGTATTTTGTTTTATGCTGGTTTTAAAATAAAAAAAATTGTTTTCAATATTTAATTTGGGTCAGATCACAAAATCAACTGATGATTACTGCAAAAGTCATGTGAACCCCTCATTTATTGTCCCATCTTAATGATGAATCATTCTCTATAATGCTTTCAATTGCATAATAAGTATCAATGCATTAACTTTCAATGCTAATACTTGTCTTCATTACATGAAACTTTCTTTTTGTGTCTTTCCTCACTAGTGGACAAAACTGTAAAAACTGTCCCATCAAAATCAAAGGACAAATTTTGTCATAACAAATTTGCATTTATTTTTGTCCACATTAAAAATTTCAAGCTGTCAATTCTGTCAGCGTTTGATCTGTGATAAGACCAGCCAACATAGTTTGGCAGAGGATTCCACCTGCAATTTCCAGGATTCATCAACATTCATTTTAAAATTTTAGAATCACTGAATTTTGCAACAAAAGACAATCTTTGCCTTTCTAATAAACTAATTTCAGTTCAATTACATGCTGGTCATAGTTTTAATGACAAATGATTAAAAAGGTTATCATGATTATGGGACAAATTTTGTTGGCAGTGTGTTTGAAGATTTGTCTGCTTCGGCCAAAACAATTATTTGTCAAGTCATGACGAACCATTCACACTTGTAAAATGTTGGTGGTTACAGAACATTTTCCTAAATAAACAATTTTTTGCTAGTGTGGAAAGGCCCATACTCAAAAAACTAAATAAAGCCATAACTGCTTACCTGTGTTCTACACATGCCACTAGACATCCTTGGGATGCCAACTCACAACAGTAAGTGTTGTAGATTAACCTGTTACCTCCCAGGCCATGTGAAAAAATAACACAAGGTAACAACTGGTCCTCTCCAGCAGGTTTACAAAGTGGTGCATTGTATATTGCAGGGATCTGCAAGCTACCTAGAGTAATAAAAATATCGCAATAAGTGGATTTATTGATCATCGCAAATGCTCACAAACTGACTATAGCCCATTTAAGTGGATTCTCGCTGCACACGTTCAGACTATAGGAGTGCACGTCTTGACTACTTTATTTTCCGCATCCCCCCCCTCCCTAGGAAGGTAAAACCCCCTGCATTACAATCAATAGCTATGCGGTCGAGTACCTCAACCTTAAGTTAGTTGTAAATCAAATTGAGAGCTGTACGCCTACCTACACACCAGTAGAAAAATCTTCCTAAAACCCAACCTGGAAGTTTCATGAAGTTTACAAGCCCTGATGCGTATTCTTGACGAGGAATCCAAAAACATCTTTTTGATTCATCCAATGTTCCAGCCGTCTTCTCCGCTGGGTAAAAGAAACGTATAAAGCTACCACCTTCAGTAGAAAAACCTGTAGATTCATCTTTTGCACACATAAAATCGCTGCAACCAACAGAGAACGGCCCGGTACATTCTTCGAGCTTTGTCTGCACTCTCCAAAATGAGAACCAGCGCGACATTTTCCTTTTTATCATAATATTTACGAAGTAAAACACTACTTATCGAATGAATAATTATCAGCTGATACTACATAATTGCAAAACGTGATTTTATGCCAGGCGTTGCACGTGATTAACGTGAAGGACTGGAACTCGGAGTTGACTATCACATTGTTTTCCCGGAACTGGTCGATGCGGATTTCATGAACTAATTTCAAGTATGTCTGACGGAGAAAATCGTCCGCTTTTACGCAGTGATTCAAGCACAAGTTCAAATTATCAAAATGAGGTGACGAATTTTGGAAAATTGGTTTATTATTCCACGTGATGTCCCATGGTGGAATATAAATTTCTCAGTATTATATAATTTTGTGAATTCCATCATTTTGTGTGGTGCAGAGCTCCCTTACGTTTTCAAGCAAATGGGGCCTTGTTTTGTCGTGCCTGGGCTGTGTGATAGGAACAGGAAATATCTGGAGATTTCCAAGGATAGTTGCCAATAACAGTGGAGACAAAGGTAGAAAAATAAGCAAAGCAGTTGTGTCCATTTGCTGTTTGTTTACGTTTTACAAAATTCCACTCAATCCATTCGTCCATGGAATACCAATAGCCTTATCGCTTATTGTCACAACCTTGTAGATGTTTCTCATCAAAAACAGTTTTGCTCAGAGGAATCACGCGAAATCTATCGTTAATTAATAATCCATGCCGAGCTCTAGGAAGTTTGGTCATATCCAACTCCTTTTTTTACTTAAGGGGATGGTCAGGGTTGGGTCTGGAACTTAGTGGTAAGTTAATCAGCTGGCCTGGGGAGG